TATCACAGCAGTAGCCGATGTAGGAAACAGCCCACAAACACAAGAAATATGTGCCAAAACTATGGAAAAAAATATGCAACGAATCATTCGAATTTCGCTGCTCCAGTCGAGAAACTGACGCACAGTTTGAATTTCCCGCGTCTATCGTCGCGTGACGCCCATATTGAGGATTTCCCACGCTCATCGCCAGAAGGTGCGCCGCGTGCGACGGCGCGGCAAACTAGATTCTCTTGTCCGTCTCCCCAAGTGTAGTGCAGTGACGTTTCTCATTATGTTGACGGTTGACGGTTCTGCTCATTTATGTAGCTACTAGTTCTATAACAGAAAGATTTGTAATAATGTAGATTTTTAGCGTTATACTCAATGTTTAGAAGCGATCTGGTGCATAATTGCTGTCGATAACAATGGTATTTTGGATATCACACAACAGCTAGCAAGTGCTCCATTGGGAAGGATCAGCTCGCCCACTGGGCACAACCCATTTTTGAGATCATCTCCTGATGAAATGGTGGTGAGTTATTTGAAGTTCAGAAGTTGAGAATCTAATGGTCAACCTACTGTACAGCTAATTTTGAATTTGTCGTTTTCAGATAGCGGACGATTTCATGGGAATGGAGGTCTCTGATAGGGTGAGTACGTGGAATTATTTAGTTTCACTCCGAACTTATTTTTTTCTTTTCCTTTTATTTTTGTTTTGCTGTAGTTTTGTTGTTCCTTTGATGTAAGAGTGAGTAGAAGATTTCTTTGGTAAATTTATTTTTCTCAGTTCTCCATGCATCTATCAAATTTCGACTGCTCGAGTCCGGTCGCAATTCCGCATGGTGATGGAACTGATGGTCCTCCTTGCACTCCATGTACACCTCCTCATGATGAACGTGAATAGCTTGACTGAAGTCGTTACTGTGGCTTAACGGTACGCTCAACAACTGTTGATTTTCCTTTAAAGACAAGCTCTGCGCCCACCTGCGAGGTGGATCGAAGCCATGTGGGAGGAGAACGGGTTGGCAGCTATACAAGTGTGCCTCTTTCGTCACTCAAAAGTGCGTGGAAATGAGGCTGAAGGGTATTTATTCGGGGCGCAGTTCAGCGACGGAATGGCATTTTGCACTTTTGGTATCTCACTAGCTCCGGTTTACAAGTCTCACTCCGATGAAACCTGTTATTTCTTTTGAACGTGGACCAAGCTCGCGAGCCACCATGGTTAAACCTGTCAACCCAAGAAAAGGTTCTCTAGATGGTTCGAGACGGGAAGTAACAAAAGTGCAAAGTGCTCCCCCTCCCGTCGCCGAACTGCCCGGTGATTCGGTGCTATTCCTCAAGCTGCAGTAGTTGCATCGATACTAAAGTCCCTCACCAAACATACGCAGCCGAAGTAGAGAACAACGCAAAGGTGAGAGGGTACAAAGATGTAGAGTTTGGACATGGTTAGGCGTATGGTTGGCCGTGTGGCTTGTTGCGTGTCTGCCTATCAATACCCTCTGACCTCATTTTCGCGCACATTTGAGTTACGAAAGAGGCACACTTGTACAGCTATCAACCCATTCTCATGGTAGATGGGAGGGATTGTCCTCGAAGGTGGGCGTACAGTTTGTCTAGAACCTTAATTCAGTGCAGTCTCTCCGAATTCCTGGATGACATGTCCACGTTGTTTCGAATTTTCAGTTTCCTCTTGTGATAGACGAAATTTTGAGCTGGCAGCTTTTATGTCTCGGCTTGCTTTTTCACCTTTTTTCACCTTTTTACCTTTTCAATTCCTTCGGAAGACTAAAACGTCAAAATGAAGCTCCAACACAAAAAAGATGTAATTTACTTCTTTCTAAATAGAAGAAATGGGTCCACCTGCTTGCTGTACAAGCACCTCCACAAAAAAAAGATGTAATTTGCTTTTTCTAAATAGAAGAAATAGGTCCACCTGCTAGCTGTACAAGCACCTCAAACTTCGTGTGTACTCGGATAACTTTTACTCGGTATCTGCAGTCTTGTTCTCTGCATATGAAAGGGCTTGTGACGGGGTGGGCTTGGCGCCGCGCCAAACCGTTTCCGTCCAGTTTTTGATGCGAGAAAGCAGATAGATTGAACCATATCCTTCGTATCCGTTTTCCGCTAACTGTTGTCGCTTACGCGCTTCAAAAATTCGTGCAGAACTGGTGTGGTGCTGCGCCAGAAGTGTCGCTCATGCCACGCCCCTTCATCCGCAGCGAACAACACTAAGCTCTTCACAAGTACGGTATCCGCACTTGTAATCATGACCCCTGTTAGCTTCCGCCAGTCAAGCAGACCAAGTTGACTGCAAGTTCCTTGAGTATGAAAAAGTCAAAATAATAGTTGTTTACTTTTTTCAGCAGCTTTTGAAGTAAATTTAGTTTCAGATCGGTACATCATCTGCAGTCGTATTCTTTCGTCGTTGGCATTTCTTTTTTTTATATATTTTGTGTATACTTTATTAGGCGTCATTGATCTACTATCTTGAATTCATCCCGTTTGTTAACCCAACATGTGCACTAGTGCCCCTCAAAATTTTGTCACATAAATAGTGACCAAAGTGAATTCTCCGGAATACCTCTAGTAACGACTAGATTCCTCAAAATGCTATTTACTTCATTATTACTTGTTAGAAGTCACGAAAAAAAAGGTGGTCAAGTATTAACAACGAGTGTATGAAGTTTCCTTCCGTACTACTGTTTTTTTTTGTAAATTATGAAGTACTTTCGTTATTAGCAGCTTTCGATTTCGGATTCGATATTGTAAAGCAGCGTTGAGTTTGTCTTTTTTTTAAATTGTTTTTTTGGCGTACGGTTCTAGTTTTAACTTACTTATTGATCACCACCATATTGTTACCTTTTTTCTGAAGTAATTTAGCGACATTTTTTTTCTTTTACTTGTTTTTTTTTGTAATCTCACAGTATTTCTCCTCTATTACTAACCGCCAGTGTTATCTATGTGATAAGGTCAACACATGAAGTATGCATACCTAAGCAACATCAAGTGTTATTGAAGGCGTTTAGTAACGGGTACATGTAGTTAGGGTGATTTTTTTCTATGATATCGTATAAAAATGAACTTGTTTGTTTGTTGTTGTTTTTTGCCAAGTAAGGGAGGCATTCAGAAATAATTACATGCACAGCAAGGTCCATGGATCCCATAGGAATGGCTCTGATGTATGTGACAAGACAATCGTAATTGGAAGCGGTCGTGGGCGTGGCGAGCGACGCAGCGTCCGACGGATGAGTTGTCCTGCCTGGTTGTTGATATGAACGTCAAAGGGGCGAGAAAATCCGATTTCGTTCACCATGGAGTGTTGTATTTGCTCGACTTCATATGAGTTTCTCTGTTCCAATTCACAACTGAGTGAGAATTTATCGCGCATGCCCGCACGATACGCCGCGCGGCGACGCGATAACGATTGTCTTGTCCTTCTCCCGTGACTATAATCCTATAAGGTCAAGCATCCAAGGTTCATCTTTCTGATGAGTAGGACTACCTATGACCCAGACTATGGGATATACCCCACCCCCTCTCCCTGCCCACGAAGGAGATCTGTGCGTCTTCACCCCACCCCACGTGGAAAAGGGACATAGACCTTTAGTCCACTATCAAAACAGTTAAATTACTCATTACTCAATACTCAATAACCAAAAGAACCTCCCACCAGGCCAGATGCAACGCACACTTAAAGGGACAAGACGGGAGTATTCGCCGCGTTTAGATAGCGTGGGCCAACGATGCCAGGCGGCAGTTGGATAGTCCAGGTCCACATATCCGATGTTCTAAACAGTTCAACAGTTTGAAGTAAATTACCTGAATATAAGAGATCATAGGTTACGGATGCTAGCTTTCTTGTCGCTGGGAAACTACAGGAAGCGGCAGATTACGATTGTCTTGACCTTCTCCGCCTATAAAGGCGTAGCACAGTACTGAATCGTTCGAAGTGCAGAATCCCTTCCTTGCACAATGTGGCGCGAGACGCAATCGCGGACTTTTATATGCTTTCGCGTTTTTAACATGGCTTGCTGCCAACATATACTCGAAATCCCTGAGATCGGGTAGGCGTGGCCGCATGCTTCAACTTAACCTGAAGGTGTCTATGCTTCTGGTGATATTTTCATCTTGACACAATTGTTGTCGTGTCTCTGTCCAACACAGAACAAGATGACAGTTGTCCCAGACTGGAATATTCCACGAGTAACCAGTTCCGTGCCATGTTCAAATGCCACGCCTACTCTGGCTCAGGGATAAGGAGTGTAAGGACATGTGTCACATTTAGTGAGCTCCATCGTGGATGTCAGTTCTCATCCAGGGAAGAAGTATTGCTGGGGGAATCTCTTGGGGTCCCACAT